TTTTTTCATTTTTTTTTTCATTTTTTTTTTAAGGTTTCATTTTATTTTTTGAGAGAGACTGAGCGCGAGCAGGGGAGGGGCAGAGCGAGAGGGAGACACAGAAGCAGAAGCAGGTTCCAGGCTCTGAGCTGTCAGCGCAGAGCCTGATGCAGGGGTTGAACTCATGAACCGTGAGATCGTGACCTGAGCCAAAGTCGGACGCTTCACCGACGGAGCCCCCTGGGCGCCCCAGGAATGTGTTTTGCACAGGGCACCCTGAGGAGTGAGTGGATTTGTGGGTGCCCTGTGCGTGGTGGGGGGTGGGGTGGGTGCTGTCGCTGAAGGGGCTCGGGGAGCAAGCAGGCTGTGGGCCCGGCCCGCTCCGCCCTGGCCAGGAAGCTCGTTGGAAAAGGTACCTTTGTTTGCGCCCACGGCCCTTGTCTCCGGAAGAATGAACTTCCCGGGCTGGTCGGGGGCACCTGTTGCTGACTCGGCTCATTCTCAGCATCTTGCACACGCCTGTCCTGACGAGTCTTGCCGAGCACGGGGCCGTGTGGCATCGTTCCCACCGCAGGCCCGGGCTTGTGTCCGCGTCCCTGCAGCCCGTGCGTGCCACAGCGCCCCCCGTCCCCCCCGTCGTAACCCATCCCCGGAACCCCCTTTCTTCCAGCCGGCGTGATGATGGTCCCGCAGAGGAAGACCAGAGACGGATTTGAGGAGCACTTCGGGCTGAACTACCTGGGCCACTTCGTCCTCACCAACCTCCTGCTGGACTCCCTGAGGGAGGCCGGACGTCCCGGCCGCACCGCCAGGGTGGTGACCGTCTCGTCCGCCACGCATTACGTGGGCGAGCTGCGCATGCGCGACCTGCACGGCAGGTGCGCGCCCGCGGGGGGCCGAGCGGGGGGCTCGAGACCGGCCGTCGGCGCGGGAGGGCGCGGGAGGGCGCGGGGCTCGGGCTCGGCGTCGCGGGAGCCGGTGCACCCCAGCCCCGCGGGCGGCCAGCGCGTCCCAGCGACACTTACGGTGACCGTCGTCCACGAACCACCTTCCGCTCGGCGGCCACACAAGTAAGCGCCGGCCGCGATGGGCCCATCGGTAGGGCCCAGAAGTGCTTGTCGGTGAACCCACAGGAGGCTCGGGTCACACGTGGGGAAACCAAAACCGAGGCTCGCTTTGTTTTCATCTTTTCTTAATGTTTATTTGGTTTTGAGAGAGACAGAGGTCGAGCAGGGTGGGAGCAGAGACAGGGAGGGAGACACAGAATGTGAAGCAGGCTCTGGGCTCTGAGCTGTCAGCACAGAGCCCGATGTGCGGCCTGAACTCACGGACTGTGAGATCATGAGCTGAGCCAAGTCAGATGCTTAACAGACTGAGCCACCCAGAAGTCCTTCTGTATTTAAC